GCGCTGTGGAGGAGCCCCTGAGCGGACTGCTGGTGCAGGTGCCGCTGCGAAGGCCGAGCCCCACCCAGGCCGAAGGGGCCCGAGTCACCGGGGTGCGCAGGAGGGCGGACAGGTCAGCGCCAGGGTTGCTAGGGCAGTGGAACTCCTGTGTGGTTCTGAATCTGACAATCGGTCTTCCTGGGAGGATACATTAATGAGCATTTACACAAATGTATAAAGATATTGTGTGTGTGTGTGTGTGTGTGGCATTATTTGGAAAACAAAAAAGTTAGAGATCACTTAATTGTTATTAATAGGAAATTAAATCAATATACAACTGTACTTTGCAACTGCTGGAAAAAGACCATACAAAATGTTTACTAGATATTTGCTGATATTATTTTTGTTATCTTTAACAGAAAGCTGGCCGTCCCTGGCCAGTGTGCTCAGTGGGTTGTGCACTGTGGATTGTGCATTGTCCCATGAACCAGGAGGTCACCAGTTTCATTCCCGGTCAGGGTACAGCCCAAGTTGTGGGCCTGTGTCCCAGGGTGGGTGTGCAGGAGAGAGCTGATTGATATTTCTCTCTCAACAATGATTCTGCCTCTCTCCCTCTCCCTTCTTCTCTGAAATCAATTTTAAATAAAGAAATACAGCGATGATACCTGCTACTTTAGTCCAGCCACATGCCCCAGGAAGAGGGAGTTCTCACATGTCAGCCAGCAGTGGTCACAAATAAGGATGACAGAACAGACTGCATTGTTTCCCATAAGTCTCCTTTTTCCCGTGATCATAATAAAATAAGCTTTGCAGTAATAGAATTTGATACTCTTTATTTAGCAAGGCAGCCTTTTAACACCCTAATGGTAACTTGCATTTTGGTTTACTGGCATTTTCATCTCACTTGATGTATTGCATTTTTTACTCGCATGATGATGGCATCTCGATGATGCTGGATTGACATCCACGTGGGAGGCAGACTGTGCCCGCCCTGCTGTGACAGTTGTTTTACTGGACTGTGGCCACACACTCACATACATGAGGTCTGAGGCTGCTTTCCTGCTGCGCTGGGAAAATTGAGGAGTGATAGAGACCATGGGGCCAAAAGCTGAAATATTTATTAAATATTAGGCCCTTTAAGTAAGTTCGCCAGCTCCTGATATATATAGGGTGTCCCCCAAAATGTGCATGCACTTTGAGTAATTATGAAAGTAGTGTTTATTAACGTACATTTCACATTCAAACTGAGCTCTCATCTGTTGAGGTCTGGTCACACTTTTTGGAGGAGAAGCCTAAAAAAAGATGGAGAATTTGCCTTTTTTATGACCATGTAGCACTAAAACCTTTCTTTTCTCTTTCTAGAGGCCTTGGCATGAATATGAGCACAACTTCCAGATTATGTACAAAGTGGGCATGGGGCACAAGCCCCCGATCCCTGAGCGGCTGAGCCTGGAGGGCAAGGACTTCCTCTCCCACTGCCTGGAGAGCGAGCCGCGCCTGCGCTGGACGGCCAGCCAGCTCCTCGACCACTCCTTCGTCAAGGTGCGCTGCCCGCGGCCCCGCGGCCACCCGTGCTGCCTGCGGCGGCTCTCACACGGGAAGTGTCTGCACCTGACATGGAAAGGGACGTTAGCTACGCCTGGGAAGTCTGTGGCCTTCGTGGGAATGTTCGTGGTGTTCTGCTTGGTCCCTTTGGGTGGTGGAAGAGGTGCCCTGGACTGAGGGCGCTGGTGTGGGGCAGTAGTGCGGGGCGGGTGACAGTGCTCCCTGCTGGCAGCGGTCTGCCCGAGGACAGGAGCAGGCTGGCCTCCCTGAGGAGCGGAGAGGCCGCGTGATCGGACCACGTTGGCGCTGCGGTCACGGCGTGGCCCTGCCGTAGGGACCGGTGATCCCGGGCGCCCCTCTCTAGCATGAGGTGGGAGCTGCTTGGGAAGGTTTGGCCGGGCCCTCTGGCTCCTTATCCTTCTCACCCTGGGCACCTCAGGAATGGGTGGGGTGGCAGACGGAGTGGGAGAGCGGCAGCCACACTGCAGGAGGGAGGGACTGCCAGGAGCTGGGGAGGTGAGTGGGTGCTGACAGCACGGGCGGTGCACAGCAGAGCGGGCCGGGCTGGGCGGGCCCAGGCGGAATGCCAGTTTATCACTAGTGTGGCCTCCTGAACAGTGAGGCGAGGGCTGCTGGGGAAGCTGCTAGAGCTCGGGCTGGGCATGGTCAGGTGTGTGATCAGCGGCAGTGGAGCTGAACGGCCATGCACACTCCTTGGGCGTGACGGTGGTGCAGCAGTGAGTGCAGGGAGGAGCAGGGCCCCTCTCAGGCTGCTGCTGTGTCAGGGAGGACGCTCTCTTGGGAGATGAGGTGAGGTGTGTGGGAGCACCTGCTTGGGATTCAGTTGGGCCTTGGGTATTGGGGCCGCCACCTGAGAGAATGGGGAGGCAGAGGGTGCAGGGAGAGTGCTGAGGGAGGGCTGGGGCCAAGGAGGAAGCCTGCCCGCCAGGGAGCTCCTGATGCACCTCGGGGTGAGCGAACTGAGGAGCCGGAGCTGGGCCTGCTGTGGGCTGTCACTACACAAGGTGCTGCTTCACTGAAACTGCAGAGCAGCCCGCTGACCTGCTGCTGTACACGCGTCCTTACGAGCGGCCAGCGGTCAGTCCTGAGCAGAGACAGCACTCCCTGTCCCTGTGCTCCGGAGGCCCCCACCCGCCCCGCCAGGCGCCGTGGGCACAGGACGGTCTGCCTGCGGTCTGTGAGCGCAGCAGGTTCAGCTCTCTCTCCGTCCGGCAGGTCTGCACTGATGAGGAATGAGGCGGAGCCGCTGCGCTGGGTGTGCACGGAGACCGTCACTGCTGTGTGACGTACACACACTGCTGTGTGACGTTACAGGAAGATGCTGGGAGTGCAGGCCTCCGCCCAGGCCGGGCTGCACCGGACGCCCTCCGCTCCTGCGTGTTCTGGCCGGGCCGAGTGATGTCCACGAGGTAAAGAAGCTCCACGCTAAGTGCCATTTCTACTGTACACGGACTGGCGCCTCCTCCCCGTTCTCCGGGGCGGACCGGGACGCCCAGGACTCTGTCCGCTTGGTGCAGAGCCGGCCGTGTCCGGTCCGGGCCTGCCCTCCGTCTGCCCAGGGCACTGACTGTGAACTGCCTGGAGGCGGCGGCAGCCGCGGGTTTGTCAGCAAAAGGCTGATGAACGAAATGGAAGAAAAAGGCTCTTTTTTCAATAAATGGTTTATTTTAGGAAAGTGCAGCTGCCTTGTCTTTTGTAGCTTGTCAGCCTCGAAGCAGGTGTGCCCTGGGCAGCGCTGGACACTGGAGGGGGAGGGCACGGGTGACGGTGGGCACTGGCAGGATGGGCACTGGAGGAGGGCACTGGCGGGGAGGACACCGGCGGGGGGGACACCGGCTGGGGGGACACCGGCGGGGGGAGGGCAGAGGGCACCGGCGGGGGGACACCGGCGGGGGGAAGGCACAGGCGGGGGGAGGGCAGAGGGCACTGGCGGGGGGACACCGATGGGGGGGGACACCGGTGGGGGGAGGGCAGAGGGCACCGGCGGGGGGGACACCGGTGGGGGGGAACACCGGCAGAGGAGGGCAGGGGAGGGCACCGGCAGAGGGAGGGCACAGGCGGAGGTGGGCACTGGCGGGGGAGGGCACCGGACAGGGGGAAGGCACCGGTGGGGGGAGGGCACCGGCGGGGGGAGGGCACCGGCAGAGGTGGGCACTGGCGGGGGAGGGCACCGGTGGGGGGAGGGCACCGGCGGGGGGGACACCGGTGGGGGGAAGGCACCGGCAGGGGGAAGGCACAGGCAGAGGTGGGCACTGGTGGGGGAGGGCACCGGCGGGGGGAGGGCACCGGCGGGGGGACACCAGCGGGGGGAGGGCACCGGCAGGAGTGAGTCCTGCAGATCCGAGCCCTCAGCACAGGGAAGAGCCATGCACTGCCAGGGCGGGGAGGGCAGCGGGTCTGAGACCACCTTATTACCAACAAGCTGTGCCGGTTCCTCAGAGAAGCAGGGCTAACCTCTTGCTGGGCCCCGATGGGAAGTGCCCTCTGACCCTCCTCCCTGGTCTTACACATCCGAGTGAGTTGGGAAGCCCCTGCACCTAGTCTGTCTGTTTGGGGACCAGCCAGACCCTGTTCCCCTCGACCAGGAGCAGCCAGATCTGCCAGGCCCTTTCTGTGCCCCTTATATCACTCACATCACCTGCTGATGGGCGTGTGGCTGGACCAGGGGTCAGCAAACTCATTCGTCAACAGAATGACGAGATTTCTTTTGAGAGCCAATTTTTTAAAACTTAAACTACATAGGTAGGTACATTGTTAATAACTTAGAGTACTCCCAAGCTGGCCTTTGCTAAAAACTCAAGGGGCCAAAGAGCCGCCTGTGGCTTGTGAGCCGCAGTTTGCCGACCACCGGGCTGGAAAGTTGTCACAGGATTTTACATCCAAGTCCCTGTCCACTTAATGACTATCTGAAACACACTAATGTGGTTTGTTTTTTTAATTTTTAAACATCAGTAGCTACTTCTACAAGGTTTTGTGTGCATTTGTTTAGACTAGAGCACTAGTTTATACAATTTTACCTATATGTTCCCAAAAATTCTAGTTTAGCACTTCTTAGTTGGGATTCAGGAATCTGTATATTTTAACAACTCTACCAGGTGGTTCTCATCAAGAGAGAAGGTTGGGAAACCCTGGGTTAGAGAACACAGCGGTTGAGAGCTATTCCAGCGTGACTGACCTTAAGGACAGGTGTCTGCTAGGAAGTACACTGGGTGCACAGCTCCTGCTCTGAGGCCCGCCGCGCCCCCTCCCTGCTCCCAGGCTGGCGCTTGCGGTCTCGGGTGCCTGGTGTCCTGAATGACTCCCTGCCCCCAAGCCGCATTGCCCTCCCGCCAGTCACACTGTGTGCTGGTCTCTGCCTCCCTGGGTGTCCGTGGGGCTGACGTGTCTGCCTCACCCGTGGCAGGACGGAGGGGCCTGTGTGAGCACCAAGAGGAGCCAAACACCGAGTGCTTTTCTGGAGGCATAATTTAATCGTCTCACCTACGCGCCTTCGCTCTACCGGCCGTCAGGGGTACAGGAAACAGCACCAAAGGATGAAAGGGACTCGGTCGCTCCCCATCCCTGCCCCCCCCATGGCCCGGCCACCGCGGCCGATGGCAGGACAGGGCTGGAGGCAGCCTCGCACGCTCTCCTCGTGTCCTTCCTCACGCACGCACACTCGCATGCACACAGGAAGAGAGAGCCGGCACCCACGGCAGCACACGGGGGAGGGCAGGGCGGCGGCCTGGAGGACAGAGGCCCTGCCTCCCAGCAGAGCCTCGCCCAGCGCCCTGGCCAGCCGCACGGGGAGGCCCCAGGTCTGCTCGGGATGGAGCGCGTCCTGTCAGTCCTTGTGCTTCTGCCTGCTGTCCATGTTGCCGTAGGCAGAGCCCTTGTCGATCTCCGTCACGCCGATCATCCATCGGACGCCCACAGAAGCTGCAGGGGAAGGCAGGGGGTGAGGGCTGCGGGATCCAGCAGAGCAGACTGGTCTGGGTGCCATCCATCCGCCCTGCCCGGTTCCCCGGAGCGCGGGCACGGCGCTGGCCGGACCAGGTGACACAGGGAGCCGCGGGCTGTGTGGGCCCCGGGGCTGAGCCCTCCCCAGGAGGTCAGAATGGCCGCCTTGCCCGCTGACCCGCTGCACGTGGCTGACAGAAGGCACAGGGAGCCTGGGGATGGGGGCTCACACAGTGCCCGCATGTCCTCCCCCCACCGCAGAGCCTGTGTGACGGGAGCTGGGAGCAGCTGTCCCGCCCAGGGGCCCGGAAGCCCAGAGGGGCGTGTACGCAGGGGCGGGAAGCGGTAGATGGGCCTGCAGGCTGTGCCCCTCAGGCGGCACCGCACCCCACCCCGCTGAGCTGCCCCCCGGACCTGCACTGCCAGCCACTCACCCACGAAGAAGACGAGGACGAAGCCGGCCAGCGTGAGGGAGGAGCCGCTGCTGACCATGCTGACCAGGAAGCGGAAGAAGGGGTAGAGCAGCAGCGAGGCCCAGAAGAGCCAGTTGAGCAGCGTCCAGGGCCGCCTCGGGGGCACCATGGGCGTCTCGGGGAAGGTGCCCGTCTGGTAGTACTGCTCCTGGAAGGCGTCCTGGGAGAGAGAGGGACCTGAGTGCTCTGCTGACCTCCGGAAGGCTCCTGCAGCCCGAGGCCCGCTTCCCGGGGGGTGGGCCAGCCGCGCCCCGCAGAGGGCTCCTGCAGGCACCCGGCGGGCTGTCCCTTCCCACTGTGACACCTGGAACTCGTCACTGAGTCCAGTCCGTCCTGCTCTGCTCCCTGCGGCCTCCCCGACTGGGCAGGTGACCAGCCTGAGGCCCAGGCCTCTGGGCAGCATCCCATCCTCACAGGTTGGTGGGAAGGAGAACCGGCCCTCAGTGAGCCCCGGAAGAGGGTGGGCGCAGACCTGTGTCCTGCACCGGGAGCCCCAGCCCACGACACCCCCTGCGCCTCCCCTCCCTGCTTTCTGTTCACATGCGGGTGCGGAGGAGACCAGGGAGGCCCGGCCGGCACCGCAGCTTTGCTGCTGGCCTCCTCCATCAGGCGCAGTGACCGTGCGACTCCAGACGGCCTGAGGCCCACGGGGGGCCAATGCCAGGAATACCCTTATGAAGGAGACCCCTCAGGGCCCCCTCCCCCCCACCCCTCCCTCCGAGGACAAGGGCCAGGACCGGAGTCAGACGATGGCCGGTGGCACCCTGAGCTCGGACTCTTGGCCACCCAGCCTCCACCCCGTGTCCGCGTCCAAATGTCCCCGAGTACGCCTTGCACCGAGCAGGCCCCGCGGAAGCTCCTGTGGACGGCGGGCCCAGCCAGTGCGATGGCAACCCGTGGGCTGTCTACAGGCGAGGGATTGGCGCACCCAGAGCCACAGCCGAGAGCGGGACTGGGCTTCGGGTGCCGCCGTCCAGGGTGCTCGCAGCCCAGGAGCGCGAGGGCCACAGACAGCCTCTCGGCTCAGTGCCACACAACCACGGGGCTTCCCGTCTTAATGACCCAATTCCTTCACACCGCACAGTTCAGGTGTCAACAATTCACCGTGGGTGCCCGTCGGCGCCCGCCTGCCCTGGAAGCCCGGTTCTCTCGGAGCCGAGGCTTCTGGGAGACGCCTCCCTGGACGGCAGGGCCTGGGTCTCTCCCTCTAACGACTCGGGACAGAGACGGCTGACGTGCATCGTCCTCTCCTTCCCAGCCCGGTGCGGCAGCAGGGGTGGGTGATGTGCTTTCTGACCATTCAGACTCATTCTGGACGAACCCCTGCCCTCCCCCCGGAGATCAGGACGCCCTCCGCGCCCCCCCGGCCGGCCCAGGAGCAGCCGCGGGCCGTTCTCCGGAAATCAGACAGGCAGGCGGTTACAGGACAGCGGGCTCCTGTGCCCACTGCCCGGCCCCAGAGCTGGCCACCTGGACACATCTTACAGGAAGTGACAGTGACGTGTGGGAGGCCCGAGAGGGCCCCTGGCTGTGCTCAGGCCCCTCATGCCGCCTCCCTCCATCAGCCCAGGGGGGGCCAGGAGCCCGGTAACTAGGCGGAGGGGTACCCAGGGCCAACTGTCCAACTAGATCTCATGAGCTGAAGCCTAACCCCTGAGGTGATGGTCTCTCTCAGGAAGAGGGGCCCTTGGGGGTATGGCCCTTACGGAGACGCTCCGAGGACGGGGGCCAGGACCGGAGTCAGACGATGGCCGTCGGCACCCTGAGCTCGGACTCCTGGCCCCTGGCCTCCACCCGGTGAGCCCCCCAGCCCCCCAGCTCCGCACCCTCCCAGAGCCTCTGACACCCCCCCAGGCAGCGAGGGCAGAGCGTGGCTGCTTTCAGCACTCTGATTTTCACTGTGAGCGGCTGTTTCCAGCCCCTTCCGCCAGCCAGGCGGCAGCCCGGGCAGCACCTGGTTGGGAAGGAGACGTGGAAGCGGGAGGGCTCTGGGAAGGTGTGTGGCTAAGAACACCAGGCCTGCAGGGACTTTTATAAAAACTACCTGAGCCGAAACTGGTGTGGCTCAGTGGATAGAGCGTCGGCCTGCGGACTGAAAGGTCCCGGGTTCGATTCAGGTCAAGGGCATGTACTTTGGTTGTGGGCACATCCCCAGTAGGGGGCGTGCAGGAGGCAGCTGATTGATGTTTCTCTCTCATCGACGTTTCTAGCTCTCTCCCTTCCTCTCTGTGGAAAATCAATAAGATATATTAAAAAAAAAAAAAAAAAAAAAAAAGGTATCTGAGCCAAACAGGCCGTGCCAGGAAGGAGCGCTGCAGACGGGAAAGCGCGAGGGTGGCGGTGGGCGCTCGGTGCTGGGCGCTCGGTGCTGGGCGCAAGGGGCACAGGGGAGCAGGCGGACCTGGAGGCAGAGCAGGCAGGTGGGATGGGGTTTCGGACGGTTAACAAGACCAGGTGCTCTCGGGGCCGTTTATTCCAAAGGCGTGTGGACCTCGATGCACAGAAACCGTGAGGAGGCTTAAGGCCCTGTAACCTCGCACTGCAGTCGGAGGTCTGGGGTGACGGCACGGCCTGCCGTTAGGAGTTTGTGAGGCCGCTCCACAGAACCCTCCGTCCCCTGCTGGCGGTCGGCTCCCAGGAGCTGGCCGGGGAACGGCTGTGCTCCCTAAGGCCACGTGGGCTGTGGACGGCTTCTAGAGCCCACACTTCACAGCCAGCGGGAGCCCCAGTGCCAGCCGGCAGTCACACCTCCGTTCTGGAATGTCTCGGCCCCGTGATTCGCGGGAAAATGTCTCAGTTGTCGAAGACAACTTCAGTTCTTGACCCAATAGCACTCTCACTGACACCTGTGTGGTCAGTCACTCGTCTCAGGTGACAAAGGAGAGAATGTGTTGGTCAGGGTTAGGGCTAGGGTCAGGGTTAGGGTTAAGACTAGGGTTAGGGTTAGGGCTAGGGTTAGGGTTAGGACTAGGGTTAGGGTTAGGGCTAGGGTCAGGGTTAGGACTAGGGTTAGGGTCAGGGTTAGGACTAGGGTTAGGGTTAGGGCTAGGGTCAGGGTTAGGTTTAGGGTTAGGGTTAGGGCTAGGACTAGGGCTAGTGTTAGGGTTGGGCTAGGTTTAAGATTAGGCTTAGGGGTAGGTTTAGGGTTCGAGCTAGCATTAGGGTTAGGGCTAGGTTTAATATTAGGGCTATGATTGAGGTTAGGCCCAGGGCTAGGGTAAGTGTCATGGTTATGTTTAGGTTTGGTGTGAGGGTGGCACCAGGGCTAAGCCTTGAGTTGTTATCATCTCAGAAAACTGAGCCCCAATCAGGGGGCTGATGGAGAACCATCTCCTGTCGGCACAGGTGTGCGCTGTGGACACACCTCTTTGCCCTGATGGTGCCGGCGCCGCAGCCGCTGTGGATGAGTGTTTGTGGCTCTTTCCAAACAGATTCATTTCGTAGGCCTTTTCCGAGCACACTTCCTAACAGCGACACCTCCTCTGCTGCCTAACGGGTCCACCCGGCAAACCTGTCCCGGGTGGGAACCGGAGGGAAGGGACGGCTGCCTGTTCCTGTGGCCCCGGGTCTGTTAAAATCCCGGTCTTCTCCCTCCCTGGGTCCGGAGCAGCCGCCCAGACCCGCGATTCCGTGTCACACCCCTGGCCGCCCTGGAGGACCCGGAGCCCAGGCCGGGCGCCCAGGTTCCATGCTGGGGACACAGATGCCAGGCCCCATCCTGAGAAGAGAGCCGCAGGGCACGCCCTGGGAAAATCCCGCCCTTGGAGAACACAGAAGCGGCTTCACGCAGAGACGGTTGGCATGTTCATCCTAAACCTGAGCTTCAAGCGTCTCTGCCTAACCTGGTGGCACAACTTGGACCCAAACCCTAAAACGTGCTCCCACTAGGGTGGCCACTGTCAGGTGGCAGAGACCCCGACGTTCCATTCAATGGTCTTCTCATGAGGAAATGAGAAATAGGCGGCAAGCGCCAGGCTGCTGTGTTCATAGGGTCCGGACACCGAATCCATTCGGTGCTGGATGAGCTGGTTTGGGCTGACAGTGTATAATGGATCAAAACTAAGTGATCACTGGGTGGTGAGACGGTCCTAAAAATGCCTTCCTCACCCAGCCAGCATGGCTCAGGGGCTGAGCAGCCATCTATGAACCAGGAGGTTACATTTCGATTCTGGTCAGGACACAGGCCCGGGTTGCTGGCTCAATCTCTAGTGTGGGGCGGGCAGGAGGCAGCTGATCAATTATTCTCCTCATTGACTAGAGGCCAGTGCACGAAATTCGTGCATGATTAGGGTCCCTAGGCCTGGCCAGTGATCAGGGCCGATCTGTGGGGCAACCAGTGGGGTGATGGGGTGGGGGCCCTGTTGGCACCCTCCTTGGCTGGACTAGCGCCACCCACTCACCGGCTTCAGCCCCTACCACCACTGGGGCCTGTGGGCTGGGGGCAGCTCCTGTGCTGAGCATCTGCCCCCTGGTGGTCAGTCCCTGTCATAGCAACTGGTTGTTCCATCATTTGGCCAATTTGCATATTAGGCTTTTATTATATAGGATTTTTCTATCTCCCTCCCTCTCCCTTCTTTTCTGAAATCAATTTAAAAATTATTAAAAAAACAAAAAACAAAAATCTTGCTGGACCATAAACCAACGGATTTTTGTTGTAAAATAAAAAGTTGCCTTCCTCACCAGAGAGAAGCTGGGCTCTTCGCCTCAATGGGTCGGAGCAGTTTGGACAAGAATGACCAGACTCCCTCTGCCTGTGCTCGAAGGGAGAAAGCGGTGGAAGGAAAGAGGAGGTGGGAGGCCGAGGGGAGCTGGAGCAGGGTGGGGGGACGCTGCAGAGACCACGCGGCCACGGGGACCTCGTGTGCTTCCTGCTTACGCGGCGGTGTGGGGAGACCGGCCTGGGGCCCAGGCGCCCGAGACCGTGTGCACTGCTGACGGGACACCCGCCCCAGGGAGACGGACAGGGCCGCGGAGCCAGCACGTCCTTCCTGTCCGCCTCCCTTTCTGTGACGCCTTAAAGAAATACTCCACTGTGCTCTGTCCCTGTGCTGAGCCGAGGGCCGGCTCCAGGGCCGTTCATCCAGTGGCAAACGCACCACCAATTCCAGGGCCCCCGTGTGCCCACAGTGCACCCACCGAGCACCCGGTGCACCCAGCACAGCGGGAAACGGGGCTGCCCCGCGCACTGACCTTCTCCTGGTACAGCCTGTGCAGCCAGGCCGAGCACTGGTCCTCCTCCTCCGGCACCTGCTCCAGGGGGATCCGCCTGCAAGGAGAGGGGAGAGCTGGGCAGGCGCCTGGCACGGCTGCAGAGTGGAGGGGTCTGGCTGCCCGGAAGCGGGCAGGGGACCCACATCCATGCCGGGGACACGGCCACAGGGAAGGACCAGCGGACAGGTCTCTCCTCTCCCTCCGTGGAGGGCAGGCTGCCCAGTTTCCACAGGAGGCCGCCCAGGACACCCAGACGCTGGCTGACCACGCCGTCCGCCGGGGATGGCGTGAGGCCACCGGCGGGGCCTGGGCAGAACGGGGCATGGGCCAGGGGCCCCGGGGCCCCCCGCTCGGGGCTCAGGAGGCCCAGTGGGTGTCGGCAGGTGCTGGCTGCGGGCGGACTCCTCCTCTGTTTCTCACTGAGGGGCTTGCACAGGGAGGGCAGGGTGCGGAGGGGCTGTCGCCCTCCTCGGGCGCTCGGCTCTGAGATGATCCTGAAGCGGGGCTCCCCAGCCCGGCCCGCCGGCCGAGGGCAGGAGCGGGGACGTGGGGGCAGACCTCGCCTCACGCGGGGCCCCCTCTGTGTGTGTGTGTGTGTGTGGGCGGGGGCTGCTCGCCCCTCCAGGCCTCAGCACTGGGTGACAGGGCGGCGGCCCCTGCAGGCTCACAAAGGGAACAGCAGTCACCATGACGCTTCTTCCCTGTTTAAGGGGAACCAGAGCGGCTCCGAGGAGGGAGACGGTGTAACTGGGGCTGTGGGTGCCCCGGTGTGTGTGTGTGGCACTGGGAGGCCCGGACACGATGACCATGTCCTACAATGCTTGGCTGGTCTCCCGCTGAGGGCGCTCAGATATCCCAGACAGTCCACCGCCAAACCCAGCCCCCGAGCCCGCCCCGCGGGGTCCCCACATGGGGCCTCAATGCGTGACTCACACGCCCTTTCCGTTGTTCCCGCTAATCCTGCCCCTCCCGTTAGCCGCTAAAGGTGCTGACCCGGCGTGTCTAACACCGGGGCATGTTGTCAATAAAACCGCTCAGGCCCGGGCCACGCGCACACGGGAGAGGCCACGGCATGCGCACGTGTCTGTGCGTGTGCGTGTGCGTGCGCACACATCCTCCAGGAAGGGCATCTCCACACGGCTGTGCACACTGACGCCTGTGTGTCCGCCGGAGCCCACGGCCAGGAGCGGGAGGACCGGGCGGAGCCCTTACCCGCGCACTGACGGTGGACAGTGGGTGTCCCGTGGCCATCACGTGACTGCAGGGGGACACGCCTGGTGCGGCACAGGCTGCGGACCCGGGCATCGGGCAGGTCCCGGAAGCAGGGCCGCGGTCCTGTGATCTGCTCACTGAGGGGGCGTGGCCTCTCACCTGACATACATGTCTGCGCGGTATTTCTTTCCGTTCAGGACGCCCAGCAGGGTGGGGTTTTCATTGTCTCTGAAATTGAGTGTACAGTCATATACAGCTGAAACTATAAAAACAAAACAAATACAGAGCAGTATAGCGCGTGTGAGCCGTCTGGATTCGTAGACACACACACGGGAAACAGTGATCGGAGCGCGAGCGGGTGGTGGGGGCGCGGGCCTCGGGCTCCTCCCTGCGCCTCCCCGTCCCGCCACGGCCTACGTGACCGCGTGGCCCGGGTGACCGCGTGGCCCGGGTGACCGCGTGGCCCGTGTGACCGCGTGGCCTGTGTGACCGCGTGGCCCGTGTGACCGCGTGGCCCGGGTGACCGCGTGGCCCGTGTGACTGCGTGGCCCGTGTGGCCCGTGTGACCGCGTGGCCCGTGTGACCGCGTGGCCCGTGTGACCGCATGGCCCGTGTGACCGCGTGGCCTGTGATCGCGAGGCCCGTGTGACCGCGTGGCCCGTGTAACTACGTGGCCCGTGTGGCCCGTGTGACCACGTGGCCCGTGTGACCGCGAGGCTCTACATGACCATGTGGCCCGTGACCGTGTGGCCTGTGTGATCACGTGGCCCGTGTGACCGCGTGGCCTGTGTGACCGCATGGCCCGGGTGACCGCGTGGCCCGGGTGACCGCATGGCCCGTGTGACCGCGTGGCCCGTGTGGCCGTGTGGCCCGTGTGACCGCGTGGCCCATGTGACCGCGAGGCTCTGCGTGACCGCGTGGCCCGTGACCGTGTGGCCCATGTGATCGCGTGGCCCGTGTGGCTGCGTGGCCTGTGATCGCGAGGCCTGTGTGACCGCGTGGCCCGTGTGACCGCGAGGCTCTACGTGACCGTGTGGCCCGTGACCGTGTGGCCCGTGTGACCGCGTGGCCCGTGTGACCGCGTGGCCTGTGTGACCGTGTGGCCTGTGTGACCGCGTGGCCCATGTGACCGCGTGGCCCGGGTGGCCGCGTGGCCTGTGTGACCGCGTGGCCTGTGTGACCGCGTGGCCCGGGTGGCCGCGTGGCCCGTGTGACCGCGTGGCCTGTGTGACCGCGTGGCCCATGTGACCGCGTGGCCCGGGTGGCCGCGTGGCCCGTGTGACTGCGTGGCCCGTGTGACCGCGTGGCCCGTGTGATCCCGTGGCCTGTGTGACCGTGTGGCCGGTGTCAGAACCAGTGGCACCCAGGCCGGCGCGGGAACCGCAGGCTCACGGAGGCCGGACGGTGCAGAGCATGTCCGCCGGGGCGGCCCCAGCCCGGCCGGGGCAGCGGGAGAGGGAGCCCGCCAAGCAGACTCACTGCGGGGTGCTGAGCGCTGGCAGGACCCCCCCACCCCCCAGGAGGGCGGGCAGGAGGCTAAGGCCCAGGGTCCTTAAGGGGCTGACTGCAGAGCCCGAGACATGCTGAGAATCCAAGAACGGGCCTCTGGCGCCGGGCGGCCGCCCGAGCCTCGCGGTCCTCACACCACGGACCCGCCCCCGGGGCCGCACGGCGCGGGGGGCCGGGCCAGGCCAGGCGGCCGCGCACAGAGCACGCTCCCGGCCGCGTCGCCCTCCGGCCGGCGCCCAGCTGGCCCTCCCGCCCGCGGACACAGGGCAGGGTGGCAGGGCTGGCGGCAGGGAGAGAACGGGTTTCTAACGGAGGGGCCGGCTGAGGAGGACACGGGAAGTTCTGGAAGAGACGGGGGCAGCACTGCTCCTCCCTCTGCTCTCCGAGCCCAGGGCCCAGTCAGGTGACCGGACACGGCGCAGCATCAGGCCATGGAGCAGGAAATGCAAAGCGAAACCACCCCCTGGGCCCTGGCTGGTGTGGCTCAGTGGACAGAGCATCGGCCTGCGGACTGAAGGGTCCCGGGTTCGATTCTGGCCAAGGGCACATGCCTGGGTTGCAGGCTCAACCCCCAGTAGGGGGCGTGCTGGAGGCAGCGGATCAATGATTCCCTCTCATCATTGGTGTTTCTCTCCCTCTCCCTCTCCCTTCCGCTCTGAAATCAATAAGAAAAAGAAACAAACAGAAAATCACCAGCTGGTCTAACTGGGCGGCCAGGGTGTGGGCCACACGGGACACAGGATCCCCACGGCCACGGCCCTGCAGTACTGGTGCCGAGCAGCGGAGGGCAGTGTTGCCTCGGGGGGGGGAGAGGGAGAGGGAGAGAGAGAGAGGGGCTGTGCTCAGGCAGGCAGGCAGCGGCCACACCTCCACGCCGCTGGCCACCAGGCAGGTACAATCCTACCCCCCCCCCCCCCCCGCCCCGGCTGAACCGTGAGCTGGACGCCGGCCCGGCAAAGCCGTGCGGCTCCCGGGGCCGGGGCGAGCGGCGCCTTACCCACGTTCCGCAGGCTCCTCACGGTGACGGCGAAGCCCTTGGTGCGGGGCAGCAGGTGGTGCTTGAGGCTGGGCAGCCCCTTGGCCTGGGCCACCTGCATGCTGATCCGGTGCTTCTTCTCCGTGAAGCGCGTGCCCTCGCAGTGGATCAGGAACTGAGGGGCAGGCAGGGGTCAGGGGCCGACAGCGCCCGGCTGGTCTCCCCGCAGGCCCATGCCCCACCCCGCAGTCACCCCCCCCCCCCCCCCCCGCAGTCACAATCCCCACCCCGCAGTCACACCCCCCGCAGGCCCACACCCCACCCAGGCCCACTCCCCACCCCACAGTCACACCCCACCCCGCAGTCACACCCCTGCAGGCCCACGCCCCACCCCCCCCAGGGCCCCGCCCCGCCCCCCCGCAGTCACCCCCCCCCCCCCCCGCAGGCCCACGCCCCACCCCACAGTCACACCCCTGCAGGCCCACGCCCCGCCCCGCAGTCACACCCCCCGCAGTCACACCCCTGCAGGCCCACGCCCCGCCCCACAGTCACACTCCCCTCAGGCCCACGCCCCACCCCACAGTCACACCCCCCCCCCCCCCCCCCGCAGGCCCACACCCCACCCCGCAGTCACACCCCACCCCGCAGTCACACCCCACCCCCGCAGTCACACCCCCTGCAGGCCCACGCCCCACCCCGCAGTCACACCCCACCCCCCCGCAGGCCCACACCCCACCCCGCAGTCACACCCCACCCCCGCAGTCACACCCCACCCCCGCAGTCACACCCCACCCCGCAGTCACACCCCACCCCGCAGGCCCATGCCCCACCCCACCCCCGCAGTCACACCCCACCCCGCAGTCACACCCCACCCCGCAGTCACACCCCACCCCCGCAGTCACACCCCACCCCGCAGTCACACCCCACCCCCGCAGTCACACCCCACCCCGCAGTCACACCCCACCCCCGCAGGCCCATGCCCCACCCCGCAGTCACACCCCACCCCCGCAGGCCCATGCCCCACCCCGCAGTCACACCCCACCCCCGCAGTCACACCCCACCCCGCAGGCCCACACCCCACCCCACAGTCACACCCCCTGCAGGCACCACCCCACCCCTCGCACAGTCACACACATGGACCCAGAAGGCTTTGGGCGTGGCGGGGGGGGGGGGGCCTGGCAGCTGTGCTCACCTGTCCTCAGGGTGAACCCAGAACCCACCACCCTCCGCTGACAGCTCAGGGCAGGACACCTGGCTGCCGGGGTGTGTGTGTGTGTGTGTGTGTGTGTGAGAGAGAGAGAGAGGGGGGGGCATCCTGAGTGTGTGTGACAGCAGCATCCCAGGGTTTCCTGCCGCACAGTGAGTTCAGGTGAAGGACAGAGCAGCGTGTGCACAGTGGGCAGACAGCACACGCGCACAGTGGGGCGGGCAGGGACATGCGCACAGTGGGCGGACAGCACATGCGCACAGTGGGGCGGGCAGGGACATGGGGGCCGCCCTGGCGGGCGGGCGGGCGGGCGGGCGGGCTCACGTACGAAGTACTTCTCAGGGTAGTCCCGCAGGTGCAGCAGGCTCTGGGACACGGTCTTGCGGTCCTGCTCCCACTTGCGCGTGCAGAAGACCATCTCGGTGAAGTACCACATCCAGCCGATGATGGGCACGTAGGCCAGCTCCTTCTTGGCCAGCACCTTGGAGCCCTGAGCGGACGGAGGGTCCGGGTCACGGGGAGAGGAAAAGGGAGCTCCCAGGAGAGGAGGCGTCACTGTTCGCCCCAGGGCCGAGGGGGACAGTCCGGGGCACAGGGGGCGGGGCCTGTCTGCCCTGGGGGAGGGTGTGGAGCAGGCACAGGGACAGGCACAGGGACAGGCAGGACGGGGGGCCCCGGGGGCCACTGGCCCAGGGTCTGCAGTGACCGCCTCCCGCCCGCTGAGCCATCAGGAGCTGTGACCTTCTCCAAGCCCTCCGCCCTCTCTGTCCTCAGCCGAGCCGCCTGCGGGCCCATGCTGCCACCTTCATGGCCCCGGCAGGCGGGAGTTACCCTCAGACCGGCCCGGCGGGCTGCAGATTGGGGAGCCCGAGGCCTGAGGCTGTGCCCCCAGCAGGTGGCACTGTGGAGGCTGGTCCGGCAGCGTCCCAGTCAGTCCTTGGCTCACCAGGTCCCTAATTTCTACTAAGGCCACGGAGAGTCTGAGCAGGGACCCTGCGGGGACTGGCCAGCAGCCCCCACACTGGCCTGGGGGGAATGAGGGCGCTCCCCGGGCACACACGGCTCACAGCCGCTCTCACGCAGAATAAGGCCCATCGGTGGCCCGAGGCTGTGGGGGAGCCGGATGCCAGGCCCAGGGACACCCCGGGGGCCTGGGGAGGGCAGGTCAGACGCACAGTCCCCGCAGGTCTGAGGGCGAGTGTGGGGGCCCGGGGAGCCGTGGGGTGAGGGGAGGGGCCGGACTCAACCATGACACGCCTGCCAGGCCCCCGGCCGTGCCCGAGTCAGGCCATGGGTAAGGGAGCCCCCGGCTTCTCCAGAGACCTTCAACGGCCCAGTGGCCGGCCAGGCAGCCACTCCTCCCGGAGCACCGACAAGCAGCTGCTGTACGGAGTGTTCAGCCCAGTGGACAGGCTCTGAGGGGACTCCGGCCTCACGCACGTCGCTGGGCAGAAAGACCGCTCCCAGACCTGGGCCCTGGCACAGTGGCGTTGCTGGCACGTCCCTGACCCGCCAGAGCCCGCAGGCCACTCCCCCCAGGAGCAGCCGCCGGCGTACGTCTGAGATCATGGCCGAGCCCGGGCCCACGCGGCCCTGGACGCTCACGGAACAGCCCACGCCCACCAGTTCCTGCGATGCCAGTCGCTTCCTGGAAACCCCTCCCTCTCGGCCGCACCCGGGAGATGCAGGCGCCTCTGCCTCTGAAAGGAAGTGTCCCCCTCCTGCGTCCCACGTCGGAGAGAAAACCTTTGGTGAAAAGCAGCGCATCCAGCCGAACCGTCACCGCTTCTGCAGGTTCTGAGCGACCGAGCTAAAGGCAAGGCCGGTGCGCGCGGGAGGTGTGTGCGGACGGCGTCAGACTCACCCCCAGGACCCCGAAGCGCTCGGCCAGGCTCCAGCCGCAGAGGAAGTCGATCTCAAACTTGTGGTTTAGAACCACGATGGCATTCTCCTTCCCGAACCAGGGGTAGGCCCGGGGGTCGGTGTAGATGACGCACTCCGTGCCCGACCACCACTCCAGCAGCATCACCAGCTCTGCAACAGACGAGGGGCCGCTTACCCCCGCGCCTCGGCCCAGGCTGCGGCCCCCTCCCCAGGCCCATCCCCCCGGCAGGCCCAGAGGCAGAGGAAGAACGAGGATGGCCCAGCACGGCCTCAGGGCAGGAGAGGAGCTTTGAGAAGACAAGTCCCCTCCTGTCTGGATTAAGTTCCTTGGGGAAAAATAAATCAGAAAGCCCGACACCATCAAGGATTCATGCCGGGTACAGAGCTCCGAGAGGCAGCCTGGAATGGTGTACGGAATTCTTAATATTCCGGGAGGGGACTGATTGGGATACTTCTACACGCCATCAGAGGACCTGGGGCACCCACGTTTTCTCCCTGCCCAAGGCCAGGCCAGGCCCCTGCACACACACTCCCCAGCCCCTTCGTAGTGCCTGTCCCAGCCCGGATGCAGCTTGAGAGTGTGTCCCTGCTGTGGACAAGCCCGGCAGACAAGGATTGTGCTGCATGGTCCCCTAACCCAGCCCAATTCCAGGACCCAGAACGGTGCTCTCAACACACCCGGGACCTACTGTGTGCAGGGGGACCTACTGTGTGCAGGGGGACCTACTGTGTGCGGGCGGGGACCTACTGTGTGCAAGAGGGGACCTACTGTGTGCAGGGGGGGACCTACTGTGTGCAGGCGCGGACCTACCGTGTGCGGGCATGCAGTGAGGGACTGGGAGTGACAGCAGGTGGAACATCAGGCTGCTCCCCTCCCAGGCCTGCTGTGAAGGGACAGGAGACACCTGTCCTAGGACGGAGGGGTGCTGAGTGTCAGACACATGCCGGCTGCAGCCAGGCCGGTGTCGCTCGCTGGCCGGAGACCTTCGGCCTATTTCTCTGTGCCCTCCTCGTCTGCGTCCTTGTCTATACATAGGGTCAGGAGGAGCCTGGAGAGATGCCGTGGACTATTCAGAGACAGTCCACGCAGTACAGCAGGTGACCACTGAGCGCGCCTGGGGTTTACAGCACAGGAGGCTGTGGTCCCCGAAGGGGGCGGAGTGGGGTGGGGAGGGGCGGGGAGAGACAGGGGCAGACAGAGGGGTGGTTTCCTAATGGAGCCAGTGAGCTGTCACTGTGCCCACAGCACAGTTTGCCTTGTGGAAAGATCTCTCTGGCTGAGGAGGAAAGGGGCACTTACACGCTGATGGGAGGAGCTGGGCAGAAGCGGGAGGTCCGTTGGGAGGGGCCCACCACCCTCGTGGACGTTCCCAGGGCGGACGCCCTGGCTTTCAAACCCCCTCCCCCGCGAGGCCGCCATTATATCCTGGCCCCAGAATAAACCTAAATGGACGTGTCAGCAGTTGTCAGAGCAGAGGAGGGGCTGCTGAGGACACGGGGAGGGAGTGGCTGCCCTCCTCCCAAGCGGGGGGCGGTGAGATCCCAGGGTTTCCCGGGAGGCAGAGCGCACCCCTGGGCCCGCCCGAATCAGATCTGGAGAACCTCCCAGACACCGGTTCCTCCCACCGCTGCGCCCCCTCCCCCGGGGCCTGCGGGCAGGGGCGCCCGGAGGAAAAGCCCTGAGACCCTGCGTGTCAGCACGTGTCAGCACCGGGCTCCGCAGGTGCAGAGTGCAACAAAGGAAGATGGCATTTCCGTAATTGCCTTTATCTGATTTTAGTAATTACACGATCACACATATAATTATGTCCTCTCTACCATAAGTACACATAATTAGGGATTTATAATGGCTTTCTATGGTGTAACTTTCCACCGGCAATTATTTAGGTTAACAATTAAATCTCCTCCTCAGAAAACTCCTACATGAACCACAAGGACGGTTCTGGCCCAGCACACTGTCCACGCCCGGCCTCTGGGGGCACTGCCCTCCTGCAGGCCGCCCAGCCCCGGCGCCCGGCCCTCGGCCCGCACAGAAATGAGGAAAATAGCCGACTTTGGGAACTTCCGGCGGCTCCTGCCCAGCAGGTGGGCAGCTCGGCCCCCGGAGCCTCGGGGACACTCAGGTGTGGAGCTAACGGCCAGGGCACGTCTCCCGTCCGGCGTCTGCGGGGTCTGGGATCCCGGTCCGGACCCCTGCCCGCTGCCCCTCAGGCGGCAGCCAGGTCCCACCTGGTGGAGGGGTCCTCCGTGCCTGGCCAGCCAGGCCAGCTTCTCACTTCTCCCCACACCCACCTCTCCCTGACCTCGGGGCACCCCTCTCCCGGGCTCCACACCAGCCCGGTTCCCTGAAATCTTAGGTCCCAGGACCGATACGCCGCTTCCTCGCCTCCTGACTGCTCTGCACACCTGGGCGCTGGCTTGGCCTCCATTCTAGACGGTTTCCTGCTGCTTTCCTCCTGGACACCCAGTTGCAAGGAGGTGGCACTCCATCCAGCCAGTCCTCCAGCTTCCCCCCACATGCCCGGCCCCCGCCCACCTGACAGTGCCCGCCTGTGGACTGGAGGGTCTGGGCCCCAGTCTGGAATGTGCAGTTCAGTGAAGACAATGCCTGGGACATGCAAACAGCAGGTGCTCAATAAATGCTTGCCGAGTGGAATCAAAGGGCCTTGCTGTTGGAATGTGCTTTTCATGATGGGGTGCAGGTGAGCCCCCCACCCAGGAGGGAAGCCTTAGCCAGCACCGACCTGTGGGCCTGGCTGCACCCCAACCTTCCCTGGCTGCATCCTAACCCGCCACCTCTGGCCGGAGACGTGCAGGAGGATCTGGTCCTGCCGGTCAGAGGGCTGCTGGGCCCGCAGCACAGGAACGGTCACATGCCCACGAGCGTCCGAGTGCGCCCGGAGGGACGGCCGCCCTATTTGGCACTGAAGCTCTCGGTGAGCCATGACTCACACCCTGGCTGCTGCCGCCCTCCCTGCGTCCTCTCACTGCCCCCCCCCCCCGCTGCCCCCCGGCCAGGCCACAACGGCCCCCTTGGAACGGCCGGTCAGCTGTCTGCGCCCTGGAGGCCCCTGCACCCACGGGCTCCTTCCTGTGAGGTGGCCTCCGTGTTCATTCATTCACCGACCACTGGAGAGGGGCCCGCTCCGCAGACAGCGCGACGCTGGCTGCACAGAGCGGCCCTGACCACACAGCGCTGCCCGGGGGTCTGCTCCTGGCGGCGATGGGACAGCCCGGCCAGAGACGGGCCCGGGCAGGGCGCAGGCCAGGGCAGGTGGGTGGAGCGGAGGAGCAAGGCGAAGGCCATCGCCAGGACATCGGGCGCCTCACACCCTCCTCTGGACGCAGCCACGGAGTCCCACGTTCCTGCTCTGCCTGGCTGGCGGCCACCAGGGTTACGTGGGGGCAAAGCCAGCCCACAGCCTCCTCACGGGAACACCGGGCAGGCCCCAAAGCCCCAGCACAGAACCCCAACACCCCAACACCCAGTCAACGCCACGGAGAACAGCTGCCTGGACCCCGACTTCTAACCAGCGTCTGACCTCTGGAGGGGGGGACGGTGCAGACACAGCCTGTCAGACTGCAGGCTGAGGGCCTGCGAGGGTGTGGTGACAGGAGTGCGGGTTTCAGTGACGGTGCCGTCACTCAGCTCTGCGGGTTTGCCTTCCTTTACACAGACGCCCACGCCGGAGCTGGAGAAGACGCTGAAATTACCGGGTAAGACAGTGCCTCCCTCTCCTGTGCCAGCCCTCCCCCTGCAGGTTCACCGCCTCTGCCTGCTCGACGGGCACGCCTTTCCTGCGCCCGGAGACGCCGAGGACCGGGGCCGTGTCAGCGGAGCCTGTGACGCGGACCCGTGGCCAAGGGGCCCTTTTTTTCTGAAATGTTTTTATTGACTTCGGAGAGGAAGGAAGAGGGAGAGAGAGAAACATCAACGATGAGAGGAGAGAATGACCTCCTGGGTGGGGGGCTGTTCAGTGGCACCTGCACTGCCTCCTGCATGTCCCCCTCTGGGGATCGAGCCCACAACCTGGGCGTGAGCCTTTGGCCAGAATCAAACCCGAGACCTTCCAGTCCACAAGCCGATGCTCTATCCACTGAGCCAAACCAGCGAGGGCCATGGTTGGCAAACTGCGGCTCGCAAGCCACATGCGGCTCTTTGGCCCCCTGAGTGTGGCTCTTCCACAAAATATCATGGGCTGAGCGAGTCTATTTTGAAGAAGTGGCGTTAGAAGAAGTTTTAAAAATTTGGCTCTCAAAAGGAATTTCAATCGTTGTGCTATTGATATTTGTCTCTATTGACTGATGAGTTTGCTGACCACGGGGCTAGGGCATCCTCTCTCATCATTGAGGTTTCTCCCTCTCCCTCTCCCTTCCTCTCTAAAACCAATAAAAAATATATATATTTTAAAAAAAGAATAAGGATGTTCCTATCATTCTTTCCCCTCATGAGTGTCTTGAGGTTTAAAAATAATGGGTTGGGTCTACAGTAATCCATCTGGACACTGTATGCAACTTTTATTGTCTTGATTCAAATTCAGATTGGATTGCTTCCTCTAAAGGGTTTCAGAATGACAGCAATTCTTGGCATCATCTAAGGTTGCAGAGATTTTTAAATGGCTTAATTTGAAAGAGCTCATATTTTCAAATACATACACACTAATAGATATATTTGCTACTGATGAACTACATTTTCTCCTGTGGAGAACAGGTAAAGATTTAAGGTCCATCAACTATAAAACCCATTGCTAGACTCCCCATTATTCTGATCTGCCTTTTCCATGTTCATTTTTGAAATTCAGGCTACTTAAATTAGTCATGTTTTAATAGTCCAGTATAATCAAGCCCGTGCACACACACACACACACACACATAGGAATGCTATAAAACGGGAAATCTGAATATGGTTGGTGGATTGTGTGAATGCTAATTTTCTTGTTGGGATACTATTCTATGGTGTTGAAGGCATTATCATCGGGGGAAACTGGCTGAAGGGCACATGGGATCTCTCGATATTATTTCTTACAACTGCATGAAAATCTCAAATCATCTATGTATATAAAAGGCTAATAAGCAAAGTGTCACTTTGGGAGTTTGACCTAGAGACCAGGAGTTGATCGCTCACTATGACGTGCATTGACCGCTAGGGGGTGGCACAGAATGAAGGAAAGGCCAGTTGGCAGCTGGGGAAGGAAGGTTCTGGTCAGCAGCCAGGGAAGGAAGGCCCTGGTCAGCAGCCAAAAGGCCCTGATTGCTGGCCAGGCCTAGGGACTCTATCCGTGCACGAATTTCGTGCACTGGGCCTCTAGTTTCAAAATATAAAGTTAAAGAAGCAAGAAAAAGAACAATATATTAAATTGCCATTTAGCTTTTCAAATATGTGTTTGCATCATCTATCTACACACATCAGATACTCGCCTGCACCCGCACACTCACCCGAGACCCATGTTTCCATACACATGCATTCCTGTAGGCACAACTAAGAAATCAAACACCAATGCTTCCTGAGGAGGAAATCTAAAGAAACACAGAATGCACCTTGACTCTGCATAGGATACCTCTGTGCCTGCTGAATGGTGTGCCACTGGCGTCACTCATTGAGAAACCAATAGGTTGCCGAAATCGGTTTGGCTCAGTGGGACTGAAAGGTCCCAGGTTCGATTCCAGTCAAGGGCATGTACCGTGGCTGCGGGCACATCCCCAGTAGGGGGTGTGCAAGAGGCAGCTGATTGATGATTCTCATCGATGTTTCTAACTCTCTATCCCTCTCTCTTCCTCTCTTAAAAAATCAATAAAATATATTAAAAAAACAAAAAAACATCAATGTGTTAAGAGCCAGGACAAAATAGACAACTTCAAGCCACATCCAGACAAACAGAAGCAAATACATATGTAGCACAGTGCACAGTGCGAGCCGGGACCCGTAAGAGCCTGTTTGCAGAGCCGGCCGCAGGGAGAGGAGGGAGGAGAGGGAGGAGAGAGAGGAGGGAGAGGAGGGAGAGGGGAGGGAGGGGAGGGGAGGGAGGAAGGAGGAGCGGGAGGAGAGGGAGGAGAGGGAGGAGGGAGAGGGGAGGGAGGTGAGGGGAGGGAGGAGGGAGGCGGGAGGAGCAGGAGGAGAGGGAGGGGAGAGAGGAGAGAGGAGCGGGAGGAGCATGCTTACGGCTGGACACGCAGTAGGACAGCCGGCAGTTGAGCCTGCGGAAGAGCTGCCGGTCGAAGGGCCAGAGCAGGAGCGTGAGCAGCTGCAGGGCGTTGACGATGAGCCCCGAGGCGATGAACACGTAGCAGAAGACCAGGTGGCACAGGAACTGCGACTTCAGCAGCCCCACGAGGTCCATGGCGAGGCCCCTCCACGGCCACGCGGTCCTCCCCGGGGAAGCAGGCCGGCCTGGAGCCTAGAGACAAGCCAGCGAGAGAGCCGTCAGGGCCGCGACCTGCTTTTCTGCCTGAAGGTGGCGTGAGCGAGTCTCAGACAGGAAGGGAGCGGAGCAGGAGAGCCATAATCCCATAATCCACAGGCGGCCTCCTGCACCCGCTCCTGGGGTCGGGCCCAGGGCCCGCACGTGCCTGACCAGGAACCCAACAGGGACGTCCTGCTCCGGGGCCACGGCCGAGGGGAGGGAGGAGGAAGCAGCCTCCGCGATGGAGCGCCTGTGGTTGGCTGACTGTCCCTGTTCAGCCTTCTCAGCGCTGGGCCAGCGCCGCCTTTCCAGGACGAGGGCCCCGCCGGCTGCCCGGGCACCGGGCTGGGACCGGTTCGATAAGGTTCGATCCCCTGCCCACAGGGTCCCCGGACTCGTTCTGAGGGCTCGGTCCTACTGTCAGCAGGACGAGAGCGGCCGTCCATAGCGAATCAGGAGCCTGTAACTTTAGGAGAATGTGGCTCCTCTTTATCCCCAGGATGGGGAGGAGTGGAGAGTCCACTCCCCTTCACCAGCGCCCTCCGGTGTTTGTGGGCAAAGGGCATCACGCAGTTAATAAGCTGCCGCAGTCCTCCGGTCCCGCTTTCCTGTCTTTCTTTTTATCTCGATTCCCACCTCCCTGCCTGTCCGGTTCGCCCGTCGGGCTGGCCCGGCAGCACCCTGAGCGGGAGGGGACGGAGGCCCCAGAGGCTGAGTGGCAGGCCGGTCCGCAGCTCCTCCTCCGAGAAGCCCGGCCGCTGGGCTCCGTCCGGCCCTCAGCCCGCCAGCTCCTGGCGCCAGTGGGAGTGTCCGCATTTCTGGGGTCTGTCCAGCTGCCCTCTCTGCCTAAGCGTTCTCTCCCCAACACCCTCCCCTCCCTCCCTCCCCTCACCTCTAGACTCCCACCCCCCACCCCTCACCCCTCACCCCCCACCCCCCACCCCTCACCCCCCACCCCTCACCTCCCCCCAGCTCGGCTTAAATGCTGCTCCTCCTAGAAAGACCGCCCTGAGCTCACACCTGCTCTGGGTGAGGTCACGGGGTGACCTGGGGGCTCCACCTCCCAGGGCTCTGGACTGGGGTGCCCTGCGTACCCCTCACCGGTCACCCACCCACTGCCACGCTCCAGGGCACATGCTCTGCCCTGGAGTGTCCGGTATAAACTGAGGCCGCTCAGGCCCCGGAGACTGGGCTCCGGGCCAGCCCCCAGCCTGGGACCTGGAAGGGCGTGGGGAGCAGGGCGATCGATGCGGCTGGATTCTAAACCTCCTCTTTCTCTGATTTTCATAGAGAGATGCCAGCGCGCCGCCGTTTCCCTGACTTGATTCATGCCTAATGGGCCGGGGAGAGAGTTATTAGAAAACAAGTGCACTTAGATGCTTCCGGGCATGAATCATTGATGGAGGCCGGGCTGCTGGTGTGAGGCCCAGATTAGCTGGGTCCTGCTCCCTCGTTTCTGGGGGGAAATTAGGGGGGGCGGACCGCAGACACTGCGGCTCAGGGACGCGGGGCCACTGGGGTCAGGGACTGGCTGTTCCTGAAAAGTCTCGTTAATGACTGCCAAGCTGGGACGCGGAGGCCTGCGCTCCTCTTCCCAGCTTCAGTCCTGGCTCCGGGAGGGGACGAGCCCGGCTCCTGAGGCAGACGGGGGACAGCTATTCTGGGATTCCTGAGGACGTGCATTAATCCACCGGTAATTGTGTTCATCCATCGCCTGTCCTCGAAGCTACCCGGTCGGCCATTCAGTTAAAAATTCATGGCCCGGCCGGTGTGGCTCCGGGGCTGAGCATCGACCTGTGAACCGAGAGGCCACGGGTTCCATCCCCCTCAGGGCACATGCGGGGGTGCGGGCTCCATCCCAGTGGGGGGCGTGCGGGAGGCAGCTGATCCATGATTCTCTCTCATCGTTGACGTTTCTCCCTCCCTCTCCTTTACTCTCCGAAATCAATAAAAATATATTTTAAAAAAAGATCCATTCATTAAAAAAAAAAAAAAAAAAAAAAAGGTTAGTTCTTACTCATTGTTTCAGCCTGAGTCACACCGCCCATTGGACTTCTGAGAGGGAGCCGCGGGCATGCTCAGAGCCGCCCTGTGCAACGTGGGGGAGCACCATGTCCCCATGTCCCCCCCGGACCACAGCCCTTCCCCAGGATACTTCCAGCCCCAGAACCCCTCCCACTTCTTCCAGGGTAAGCAGGTGTCAACACACCCTGACTCCAGTTGCGTCTCCAGATCCCCTGATAGTCTCATCTCCATCCAATCACTCCGATTATGATAGAACCGTCTCCAGAGGGACGACGTGAGCTGACAACGTCCTGGCTTCTTGCTCACGGCCAGCACCGGGCGGAGGGCGTAGCAATGTCTCCTCCTGCAGAGGCCACGCCGATGAGCCCGCACGATGCCCCTCAACCCGCCACTGGCGGGCGGGCGGGCCCGGCCCAGAGCCCTCTCCCACCACCACGGACACGGCACCGCGCGAGGCGGTCCGCCCGGGCACGAGTGAGTGACACGAAAGCAAGCGGGTGTCGCCTGGGCAATGGAGTCCGTTCCTTCCCATTAACACAGAGAACTTCCTGTTAAAGGAAATGGCACCCACTAGGCCTCGGGGGCTTGTAAAGGCAACTCCCCCCACTGTAACAGCATTCCACGTTCGTCATGTGACGGCTGGAAAGTCCCCACCCGGCCGGGTGGCCCAGCGGGTGAGGCAGCCTGCGAACCAGGAGGTCACGGTTCGATTCGGGCCAGGGCACAGGCTGGGGTTGCGGGCTTGACCCCCAGAAGGGGGCGTGCAGGAGGCAGCCCACTGATGGTCTCTCTGTCCCCCTCTCCCTTCCGCTCTCTGAAATCAATAAAAACAAATGGTGGAGGGGGAGGGGGTTGTGAGGCTCTGACAGGCAGCGATGTTAGCCTGTAACCGCCCTGACATTGGGCTCCGTTCTCCCAGCCTCTTCTCTTGGCCAGAAAAGCCACTGCGGAGACGTCTTACTTTAAATAGAGGCGAGCTCTCACATTCGATCAATGTCAGCGTCCTTCCCAACCTTCAGCGAGAGCCGCTTCCCCGTCCCCCCACGACGCCCACCCCGCGTCACACCGATGTTCGTCATCAGCGTGTTACTGCCGCGACGCAATCCGCACAGAGGGCCCGGTTATGAGGATCTCTGAATGCTTCTTGCCACCCTGCTTCTTCCTCCTCCTCTCTCTCCCGTCCCCCCGGGAGTGACCGCGTGGCCGCCGGACAGTCATTGTTGGCTGTGATTGCCTGTGATGCTTCGGGGGATCCACATGGATTTATTTCCAACAACTCGCCCAGCTGTCCCCCAGACACTCACTGAAAACCCTTCTCCGCGCCGTCAGTCACGCCGCAGCTTCACACGGCGCACACCCACAGCACGGCTGAGCGGCTCGCCTTATCCATGCAGCCTGGCGGCCAGGGCGAGCGGCAGCCCCCTCGTGCAGGGTGAGGACCAGGCAAACTGCTGTCCTTCCCCTGGCTCTGCGGAGACATCCCGCCACCCTCTGCCCGCACAGAGGGAGCACGGGGAGCATGCATCCTCACACAACCTCGGGGCCTCCCGGGGAAGGCACAGCTTCCCAGCGGGTTACCACGGGAGACCACTCCTTAGTCCTCGAGCTGAGCTTCAGCCCAGCAGTCAGTTAACTCTCGAAGGTCAGTGACGACAGACTCAGATCAGAGAACCAGAAATGGCTCCTTGCCAAAAGCACACGTGTCCTGGCTTCGACGGACACTCTGCCCAGGACTTCCTAGTCTCTAAGAGTGCGTCCTGGCAGCGTGGAGAGTTCTGGAAACACAATGCTTCAAAGAAGCAGGCACGCACCCGCTGGCTGCACATGCGGCCCACGGGCACATGAGCGAGGTCAGGGCCCCCGGCCTCCCAGGGCCCGAGGCCGGGCGCCAACCATCCCAGCCAAGGCCTCCTGCCCAGCGCCCCGGCGCCGGCTCCCTCACGCCCGTCCTGGTGTCCCAGGGGGAAAACTCCGCACTGATGCTGAGAACACGGATGGAGTCTGCACAGCAAAGGGACCTGGGCCTGCAAGCCCAGACATCCACGCAAACTCACGCGCTACCTCAGCCCCGAGGTTTGGGGGAGGAACACGCGACTGTTCGACCGTTCCGCGTGACCCAGAAATCAGCGGCCCAGAGACACGCACACAGGAGTCCACGCTAAACCGTGCCCGTGGGTGTGGATGGCAGCGGGATTCACAGCAGCTGAGACACGGGACAGCCCGTGACCAATAACGGGCTACACCCTGCGATGTGACTCAGCCACAGCCTGAGTTACTGTCCTGACTGTAGCGTGGGGGAGCTCACACACATGCACTGAGAGAAACTGTGTGGCCCTGTGGACAGGGAAGGCCGGACGGCCCTCCACGGGAAGTGGACTAGGGCTGACCCAGGCGGAGAGGCCAGGGGCTGGGTACCGACTGCCTGTGGGGCGGGGCTTCTTTTGGGGCAAGAAGATACCCTAAAAGCAGGAAGTGGAGGTGCTTGTACAACTCTGAACAGGAACCTATCACAAGTCACTCAACTGTGACCTTGAAGGGGGGAACTGGATGGTGCGTGAACGACACCTCGCAGGAGGCCTTCCTTCCCCTGGCGCGCAGCACCCGGCTTCCTCCGGCACGGGCCCCAGGCGTCCGCCCCCCTCTTCGCTGCGGACTCTGGAGCCTCAGCCTGTCTTCGCTGCGGGACTCGCTCCTGCAGACCCTCCACCCCCGCCCCCCCCCCCCCCCAGCCGGCGTCCTGCCCGTCCGGCCACTCAGCCTGAGCTCCGTGCCCAGGACCAGAGGGAGCCGTGGGGGATCAGATGTGGCTCCAGACAGCCCTCTTCAGGGACGTCCAGGCTCCTAAGAGAGCGAGTCTAGCCCTCGCGGGTGTGGCTCAGCGGGTAGACTGCGGACCGAAGGGTCCGGGTTCGATTCCAGTCAGGGGCACATGCTGGGCTGTGGGCCCAGTCCTCAGTAGGGCGCGTGCA